TAAGACCTATTTTTTATAGAGATTTTAAGGAGGCATTATGGGAGGGGGGTGACAAAGGAGTTTGAAAACATGTCCTCTGTTTCAAAAAGCTTAAAGTTAGGTCTTAATTGTATGTATCTGCTAGGACTGCCAGTGTGGCCAATATGGTCAAGACAAAAGTTATAAATGATGGTTTCAGATATATCAGAATTTTAAAAATCAAGCAAGAAATGTTATTTTATGACTTAAAACATGTTGTAGTAACTAGAAAGTAAAATGGTCTTCTGAGGCAGCACAATAAATCACTGGAAAGCAATATGGTATAGAAGCTTATACCAGACTATGAATCAGGAGATTATCTAGATTGTCCCTTACTGTGTAAACTTTGGACAAGTTACTTTTAGGTTTGGGCCTCAGTTACTAACCTACATTGTGAAGATCATTTTACTTTAAAGTACCAAAACAGAAGTATCCTGGGGTAAAGATGGAAATGGTGGTGTTCATATTAATAGTGTGAAAGCCATTTTACTACAAATGGTCTCTAAGATCTTTCTCAACTCCTTTACAACCAATGTATTCTTACGAAGTGGGAAAGCTGATTATCATAAAATTAACTGGAGAGTTCAGAGAATACATGTAGTAGCTTGAATTTACTACTTAATTAAGAATAGTGGGCACTGTTGCCTTGCAGCACTAAAGGAAAGCTAAGGATCAAGTTCAACAGATTATTACCTCATGCTTCAAATATAGGCAACTAGAGCAAAGACCTCCCCCAACTTATACATTACCTTTGCCATGATATAAAAGGCACAAAGTAGGAGCTGGTCCAAATGCCTGTCTTTCATTAGGTCAGGGCAGTGAACTAAAGTGAATTCAAAGCATGTCCATATCTTCCTTCGTAACTCATTTGAAACATCCAGTTTTAAACATAGATCACGTAAGCGTACGCTTGCCAAATGATATACCTAAGATGGAAGATAACACATTGATGCAAAACATCAAGTAAATCGTTTCTCAAATTTTTATGTCTTATCGTGAACATTGGTTTTCAGGCCAAAATTAAAAAATACCTGGGCTGTCGATACATTAAAATAAACAAAATTTCTATTCTACAGCAATAGTTCACTGCTAGGGCAGGAGGGTGCAGATTAAAGCAAAATTCTCTTTGGAAAACTACTTTTAAATTTTTTTTAAAAAGGATGTCCCCTGTTACTCTATCCTGTCAACTATGTAAAGTAAGAAACACTAAAATGCAGGATTTACTTACATCATGACTATTATGAATGTATAATTTTTCAAAAGTGTTCAGAAGTCTCTATCTGTTCTCTTTGGGTTCAGGTAAAATTGCTAGGAAACCTAATATGCCAGATAATAAAAAACTAAAATGTTTGATTCCAAAAGAGTCAGAAAGCAAAATGAGGCCAGGTGCGGTGGCTCACGCCTGTAATCCTAGCACTCTGGGACGCCGAGGTGGAAGGATTGCTTTAGCCTAGGAGTTCGAGCCCAGCCTGACCAAGAGAGAGACCCCATCTCTACAAAAAACAGAAATATTAGCTGGGCATGGTGGCACATGCTGGTTGTCCCAGCTACCTGGGAGGCTGAGGCAGGAGGATCACTTGAGCCCTGGAGTCTGAGGTTGCAATGAGCTATGATGATGCCACTGCAATCTAGCCTGGGTGACAGAGTGAGATTCTTTCTTGAAAAGAAAGCAAAACAATTTTAAAAATTTCTTTAATATTCTACACTATTTTTATGAGCATACGACAGGAATGTTAAAGTAAATGAGATACGAGGTTTGCTGTTTTTTTTAAAGTACATCAGAGTAAATTCAGTTCAATGCCCTAAGCCTTTTATACATACATTTTTTTTTTTTTTGAGATAGAGTCTCTGTCACCCAGGCTAGAGTGCCATGGTGTCAGCCTAGCTCACAGCAACCTCAAACTCCTGGGCTCAAGTGATCCTTCTGCCTCAGCCTCCCA